TTTAACCATTAACATTGACTAATGCTTACTTTATTCACAAATCAATCTATATAATTTTTATTTTTTTTAAAATCATTATTGCTCTATTCGAACATGATAATATACGTTAAAAATAAGAAAGTAAATTATAAATCAATACAATTGAAAATCCTCCTACATATCGTGCATTATGTTTATTGGTTCAAACATTAAAACCAATCGGAGAGTAAATGGTTTATCAGCAGTGAACCAATCATTCTTTCAGCATTTATTGTTATTTCAGTATCTTTATTTCTCTCATTAATAGGTGAAGAAAAATCAGAATAGATATGTTGTACTTCAGTGTTTTGTTAGCTCATCAAGTTATACGATAGAAGTCAATTGCTTCCTGTCCAGTTTTTCAGTCAAGGAAACTAATGCATAATCACAAGAAAAAAGAAATAGAGCAATGTTTGCAGTAAACTTGTGTCCAATCATATTTCAGGTTATAAAAAAAGTAGAACAATTAAAAGGGAAGCAAGCAAAGTAAAAAGGCAGGAAACTGAAAATTAACAGAATTCACAAAATTAAACGTGGGTGAGAGATGAAATAGGTAGTAGGAGGGTTGGGGGGATCAAAGTTTTTTATTTTGTTTTTCTTAACGTTTCACTAAATAATTCAATTGACTAAAATTGTTTCAAGTACTTGATTATGGATAGTAGAATGAATTACCAACTGTCATTTATATGACTTACAAGATCAAGTATTATTTAGGTAAGACACTTAAATAAATTTGTAAAATTTGAAGTTTAAATTACAAATACTATAATTCAATTGATAGACTGTTACAAATGACTTATGATCGAGAAAATATAGCTTAATATGAATATAAATAATTCATTTGAATTATAAGTTGCAACTATCGGGGAATTTCAATTTTTGTAACCCCACTTATCTATCGGTTATCGTAACAGCTGACTAATGAGATGTAACGATTGGACAAGCTTCATTTTTACTTTATTACCTTGTCATCTAGAGTAGATGAAATGTCACTGAGTGACATATGATTGTTTTATTTTAGTTATATAAGCCTTTTATTTAGTTCATGTTTTAATAGTAATCAGTCAAGAAAAAAACTGACTGATAAGTAAATGATTATATGTATAAATTATAACAAAATTGACAATAAATATTTCTTAAGTTTTAAGCACTACGACAGAGATTTGACTTGGTAAATTCATACTGTTTGAGCTTTAGGTGGACTGTTTCTTGAGATCCCTGAAGAAGTGGCTTACACTGAGTGACAAAACGTCAAGAATTTTATTTCTTAATAATTGGTAAATTACAAATATATCATTATTCTGATTGTCTCTCAGATTGGTTATAACGCTACTTATTTTTCTTCTCCAGAAGAGAAATGTCTATATTTTTCAATGGATTGATCATTTCATCGAAATCATTAAACATTAAAACACTAAAATCAAAGTAGATATTCATAAAAATAAAGAAAATAGAATATTGAGATCGAAAGTTTTTTCTCTCAATTGTATGTTATTTTATGAAACTAACGTTTTCTACACTAAATTTGTGTTGAAATATCTGACAAAACTAAATACAAATTAAATTTGCAAGCCTTTCATAAATATCTCCCCCAGTAGTCTGATTGAATTTTCTGAATGAAAACAGTCAAACTTTGGGAAGTAAACTCACATTACATTTTTTTAATTTACAAGATAGTAAACTTCTCATTCACATCACTAAATAATAAAATGACAATATAACAATAACTTCTATCAATCTATAATTATTGAATCAAAATATCAATTCGAGAAATAGGTTTCGAAGTAATTGAAATCCATACTACTAACAAGTCCCAAACTGAAACGAGACAGCTGATCAGTACCATCCTGGTTTCCAAATGATTATCCAGCTTATGCTAACTTGTAATAAAAGCTTTTAGATAGGTTAAATTAATTGAAATAAATCACTCAACTAAGTATGTGTTAACATTAGTGTAGGGCATTGATGGAGATTGTTCAATATTTGTTTACATTAGGGACTAAATTTGGTAAGAAAATCATTGGCAATCAGAAAGCAATCGACTACTATGTCACCCTGGTATAGAATTTCTCAGAAGTGCATATATGACATACTAGGCGATCGAAGCTAGTCCCATCAAGCATACTGAAAAAAATTAGCCTTGAGATCATAGTTGACATTTATTGGTTCGCATTTCTATCTTGAATCAATTCCTTGTCTTGAAAAGTTTCAAAAAGAAATGACACAATTCTACAATTTCTCATAGTTTTCACTATTTTGTGTACTTCATATGGGGCACGGTTACATTTACTGACTTTTTATAATCCTGATGAAGATGTCATTATTCTAAACTATTAAAATATAAAAACACAAACACTTCTTAATTATTAGTTGTCTGTTAAATGTCAAACTAATCGTTCATTCGAACCCGATATGATATTTACAAGAATCAATAACTTGCATACTGATTGATCTTTGCATCTTTTCACTTTATATTTATACATTTAATGGGATTTGTGTATAGACTAACAAAAAGGCTTATGAAAATTCACTAAGATATATGACCTCAACTTTATTATACTCAATAACTTGGATATTTATTCTTTTATTTTCAAATCGAACTAACAGATATAACGTCCATTTGATAAAATTAAAATGAACTTTTTGATATTATCTAAGTATTTGGCTGGTGGCACTTGACTACTCTTTAGTCAGGATAAGTAATGTAAAGAAATTACGAATTTAAATATTTTCATTTGTAAGTGATTCATCAAAAGGGGCTATCAAGTATAATGATACATGACAGAAACTGAATGCCCCAAAATATTTGCGTTTTTTGTAGTACTAAAGTATGTTGAATCAAATATTTGAACATTGGTCATTCCTTATTCAAAAATATACCTAAAAACGATACATTGAAAAGACTCACTTAATAAATTGCTAATAAAATCACTGAGTAAAACAATAGTTTTAAGATTACTACTAAAATTGTGTAACTGTGTGATATAGATAAATCATATTGTTTTTTTCTGTTTTATTTACTCGGTTTACAATATCCGAGTCGATTAAACTTTCTATATATTGAATCGATGTTGCCAATGAAATTAAAATGAATTATTAGACTTAATCATTCGTCTCTAATACCATAATGTTCACTTATCATTTAAGGTATGGATTTCCACAAACAACAGATTTATGCAGTAAATTTTAATACATATTGATTTGATATCATCCATAAATTGAATTAGTTGTGTTGGTAGAAAATAACTGTAGTTTAGGGGTAGAATTTCGATGGTCCTGAGTTCTCTGAAGAAAAAAAGTGATTATTTTATAATCTTCCCAATTCGTCGTGATTCAATCGTTCTTGTGTAACACAAACTAAAAAGTGAATTGATTCGATCATACTCCAATCAGTTAGTGGATATAGACATTTAATTACACGGATAGGTTACAAAGTAGTGACTGACGTTATTTATAAATAATATCTTTCAGACAATTTGTCTAATGTAACTATGAACGTAAGTGACTTATCATTTTGCTACATTATATTTAATAGTTGGTCGTTAGGACCATTTATTAATATACGTAAGCTACTACATTTTATCAGTTTAGAGTTGTGGAAATTGTTGAGATTTTATTGAGATCATGAACCGATCAATTTTAGATCACCATTGGAAAGTTGGAAGCACTGGACGGCCGTTATGTTTCAGTATGGGACTCCTCAACAGATTTTAAGCGTTTGTACGCGAAACCAAAGTTACCAGGTTATAATCCCGCGTGCGGGATCCTGGATGCGCACTGCAGAGGGGCCCCATACTAGGACAACATGGTCGTTCAGTGCTTCCAGGTTTTCACTGTTGGTCTAAAATTGGTTGGTTCATGGTCTTAATTACTACATCTTAGTTTGTTAATTGTGAAAAGAACTTAATGAAGGCAAAAGCCAGAATGGTTTAGTGTTATCTACCCACTTATTTTCACTAAATGTAACAGTACTGAATTTCATATAAATTATCAATCGTATTTTGACTTGGTATAATTTAAGCTGTGTTAACTAAGACGAGTGCCGTATTATAAGCAACAAAATTAAAACCAATATTATAATTTCTAGACTTTAGTAATAAGTGAGTTACATCTGTCAAATTTCGATGTTGACCGCTAGACTAAATGACGGAATACTAAAGTGGAATAAGCTTGGTTTTAAGTGGTTGAAATCCTAAGAAGAACATTAATTCAGTTGTGATTTGAGTTATACTTTATAAATAACTGCCTGTTAATACAAACCTAAGGTTTAAAGCTGTCTTGAACGTTTAAACTCAACCTATGAATAGAAAATAAATATTCAGTGAAAATGCACAAGTTAGTCATTGATAAAACAATAGTAAAACAACGAAATTCTTCTAACTTATAAACTTCCATACATAGGAGTTCTAACCTATCAGCGATGAAATTTTGAAATAAATCTCATTGAGTTTTTTTTCATATCCGAACAGGAAACAAAACGATCAGTTCCAATCCTGCTTTTGTAAATAGTTTCGACAATATTAATAATTAATAATGAATACAATACCTGTTTATTGTAATAACATAAATACAAATGAAGCTATAGAGAATGAACATTTTATTCGTGCATTTCACTGTTTTTTCGAATTGTTTTCAAAGCCTAATTTCAACAATGAAAATAAATTATTATATAATACGAAGTATTTGAGTACATTTGAAAGTGAACCACCATTTTTACAATCATCAACATTAAATAGTATAAATGATGACTGTAAAACATACGATAATACTGATATTACTGCTACTACTACTACTAATAATAATAATAATAATACTATTATAACAATGATGATACTAATAATAATGAAAGGAATAATTCAAATACTAATAACTACATAAATAATGAAAGTTGTAGTGCATACAATACACATCAATCATTATTTTTATCAGGACTTCAGAAAACTTTCCGAAACCATTTCATCATTCCACAATATGCTTCCTACATGAAATGGGAAAAATTTAATGATGTATTAAAAATGGAAGAAAATACAAATGAAATTCCTTTAGATTTAAGTGTGTCATCTAATGTTTATAATTCATTGACGCAGTCAATAAATACTACTATACATACAACACCTCATGATATTGGTAGTAATATAAAACTAAGAGAAGACAATAATAATAAACAGTTGATAGTTTGTCAACTAAATTGTGAATATTCTCAAAGAAAAGAGCATACTAATGATGACAGTTCATTAAACCATCTACATTTATCCTATGATCCCAGTATGAAAAGAAAAAGATCTTATAAGCGTTTTATGAATAGAAAAAATACACTTGTGACTGCTAATGATGATCATATTAGTAATTCAAACAATTATTGGAAGAGAAAGCAATATACCGATGTTGATATGAGTAAAAATATAGCGCATTTTATTAAGTTGAATAGACGATCTAATAAATTGGAACAATCTCCAACTGTCAAATCATCATCGTTGTCATCATCCATAACAACATCCCTACCAATAGTCAATCATATTGAATGTAGTCCACCTGGCAAACAACCAGTGACTCGATGTAATCATTGTCATGTTCTATTTCCATCTTTGTACGAATTAAATAATCATTTTATCAAAGAGCATAGTGTTATATTGCAAGCTGAAATGGAGCATACAAAATCGTGGAAATCACATACAATAGATGACAGTTGTTTACAAGTATGTTTACTAATTTTGTTAGTGAAAATATACATATGTATGAAGTCATAAATCAGTAAATAAACTTTATTTGAAATTCTGACTAGAAAATTAATTATTCATTGGGAAGTTGTTAGCCAAAAATTACTTTAAACCGCATATTACCTAAATTTAAAATTATACATCTTATTAATTTATTAAGGGATTTAATACTTTCTACGAAAGTTAACGGCTATAAATTTTATAATTTATACATTAGGTCATTTTCTAATTCCTCAAGCAAATAATGAAAAACTGTCTAACATTTGGCTTATTTAAATCCTTATTCCAAAATGTCCTACTTTTTTTTAGAAATTCCTTAAGATTTTGAAGATAAAGATGTACTCATTGGCCATATCATCACCATTTGGGTCTTCTGAACAATGAAAACTTCTTTACTTCACAACGAGTCATACTTTGTATTTTCATATCGCATAGTAGACAAGATACTACTCAAAAAAACAAACAGGGTTCAGAAGTCAACAATTTAGAACTTCAGTCAATTCACAGTATAGTGTAACCAGAAAAAGACCACCCAACAAAAATCAATTAACATCTAGTTAGTCCCACCTTATGACTCCCTAAAAGTATTCATTCAGTTGACAGTCAACTATCTAGTAGGGACCTACAAAATTTGATTTCGAGCAATACACTACTAAACATACGTTCAGAGAATTGGCGTTAATACATAATATGTGACTCACAGTCTACTAAACTAACCTGTAATTAGTCACTGGTATTTATTTTAAGCCATCCCGATGCGGTCAGCTGCTGGAAGTTTAAAATACTGAAGGAATGCAATACACAAACAACTAAATCTATGAATCGAGTAATGAAATTTCTCAGAAAAATAATGCGGAGAAATTCATTTCCGAGATAAATTTCGATATTAATGGATCACATTAAAGCTTAATAATCTCCAAATTAAATCTATGAAAAAATTGTCGTTTTTGTTATTACCTTTTCTCTCTCTCTTCATTTCTTTGTCTAGAACATGAGGATACTATTGAATCGTTCAACTAATATGAACATGTCTGGTTATCCATGTCCAAATTGTGATTATGTAGCTAAATGGCCAACAGAATTACAAAAACATATTATGGTTCATTCAAAACAACGTCCACATCGCTGTATTATATGTGGATTATCATATAAATGGAAATGGGATTTAGGCAGACATTTTGATAAAAGTCACAACAGAACAATGAATCCCTATAAGAAAAATGTATTCAATCATATACAAAATCATAATAATCGATTAAAATCTGTGAATAAGACAAGTATGAAAACAAAAAAGTTGTTGCCTGCTCATGAAAAGGTAGATGATGTTTCAAAATGCAATTATCAGTTGACTCACTCAATGGGGAATCCCAAATTACTTTCAACATCAACATATATCATATCAAACCAACAAATCGAAATTTGTGAAACATTAACACAAGATAAGACAATAAAACCGATTGATTTAACAAGTTATACTCAAATGGATATTGTTTAATTATTGTTTCAATGGACTAACTGATAAAATGACTTTGTCTGTTTATTTCAAACTAATACCGACAAATTCTCGGTAATACTACACCAATTTCAAATGCAGTAATACAGTCGTATATATATGGTCTTAAATGAACTCTTAGAATGAATAAATTTTGATATAGTTAGCCAGCTAACTTCATCCAAAAACATCAGAATAACGGTAACTGTTATAAATACTTATGCACAAATGAAGTAAAACATTTGTTTTTACATTGATGTTACACATTTAATTTACTAATAAATAACTAGTTATTCGAGTTTATGATAGTTTCAATTTTGATAATCTATCAAAATAATTGCGCTAAAAAGAAAAAAAATGATGACATAATACACTACTGTGAGCCTTGTTGTAGAAACTTGTGTCGTTAGAGGATTTTCACATTGATCTGGATCAATACAGTCAAACTATTATCATTACTATTATTGTTGTCATTATTACTATTATTATTATTATTATTATTATTATTATTATTAGTCCTTATTGTTATTATTGCTGTTACTGAAGTCTAGAACATCGTCATGGTCAACTGGAGTGTAATAAAATCGATGCATTATTTTCTGTGGAATTTATTGAAAATATTAATTCACTTTTCTTTCATGTGATTAACTGAAATAAAAGAAGTTTTTTGCTTGGATTTTTTAGTCAAATAACTTATATCATTTATTTGTGGAGATTGTTGTGTGCAAAAATTAGTTTTCTGTGTTAGACATATATTTCTGTTCAAATTATATATATATATATATATATATATATATATATATATATATATATATATATATATATATATATATATATATATATATATATATATATATATATATATATATATATATATAATCATTATTATTATCATTATTACTATTGTTATTATTATTATCGGTTTACGAATAAATAATAAATAAATTTTCTCTTCTAGTCAGCGGTAGATTCCATTACTAAATGGAACATTGAACAACTATCCTGTTACTAGTTAGAACTTTTAAAGATTACATGAACACGTTTTCAAACTAAGTTTATTAATACTTTATATTACCTAGTTGATCAAAAGTAATTTTCTTCGTTTTATTGAAATCATTGGTAAAAATCATATTAAAAATCAGTAAGTCTTAAAACAGAAATCTTTTCTATATTACTAATTTATTCTTTTATGTTTGAAACTTGTAATCCTAGAATTGAACTTCATTTTGAACAACAACTTACTTGTAGCTCTAATAATGTCTGTCTGTCAGATAAGCTGTTATGCTCAAATAGCTTACTATTTTACAGTAGCGCTCAGATGGAAACTTAAAATGACTCAGTAGCTGTTTAGAATGATAGAATAACTAAGTATGATGTTTAATGATAGACTGTGCGAAATCAACAGGTGATCATTTATGAATGTATATTACTTAATACGGTGCATTACAACCTAAGTTAAGATGTGAACTGTTAGGTCATCGCTTGTTAAGGTTCATCTTTAACAGGTGGATGATATGTATTATTTGACTATGTCATTCTACTTGACTTGTATCTGTATTAAATAGGTACTATCTTTTGACTTTCAGACATAATGTTCCACCAAATACCTAGTTCCATATTTCCCAATAATATATTAAGAAGATTTACACAATGTGACATATAATTTTTAAGTACTGCATTTCAAATAATTTTCGATTATGCCTGTTCTAATTACTTTTGTTAAAAGTAGTTTAACATATTCATTAATTGCTGAGTTAACTTAACTGAGGACCAATAGAAAAGTGCCAGCGAAACAAGCAAAAATAAGTTTTCAAAGAACTGAACATTAGTGTTCATTAGTTTATCAGTGACAAAATAACTGACATAAAACTCAAAGCCTTTCATCAAATACAGAGTTGTTCATTCAGGTTTTTACATTGGTAATCAGTGATCCATCAGTACAATTTATATTAAAGTTTTGTATTAAAGTTTGCTCATAATTACATGTAAACTCGTATAAATTATAATCTGCTAGCAACGTAAACAAAAACCTACTTCTAAATAAACGTCATCTATTCTCAGAAACCATTAGATGAATATTCAATCAGTAAATATGAGAGATAATTTAAGGAAACCTAATGAGATTTCGATCAGTGAGAGAAGAAATTAGATTTTAACGATTAAACAATGCGTTATCTTCATAAGTTACGTCACAGACTGATTTTAATTAGTAATACGCCGAAAACCGGCAAGTACTGGACGCATGTTTCATCATAGTATGGGAATTTTAAATGGTGCGCACTCAAAATCATACATGAGATTGGAACTAATACTTTCTTAATGAACGCTTAACCTCTAGATCACTGAATCCAATAGTATAGATGTCTAACTTTAACCAGATCACGATATTTCCCAGCTATTTTGTTATTGTTTCCACACTCACACTCAACATGACTGAGCTCCATTAGTTATGACTTCTTCCTAGAACTTCTGTAATTGCATCCCAAAGAGAGTTATTAGTGAATACTATGATTGTCTAACTAGGGCCGGTCTGTGGTGTAATCGATGAACATTCTACAATATCCACAAGCCTGGTTACTATAATATGATATCGTTTAGTGGTCTATTGTTTAGTAAAAATCCCTAATTCCCTTAATTTTAATATTTAAGAGTTTATTCTGATTCTGTATTCTAAATATTGCTAAAGAATGTTCTCAATGAAAGCTTGCTTGTAGTTGATAGATTTCAAGTGAAAACTGTTTTTGTAACTAAAACTAGCTGATCCACTTTCAGTTCTGTTTCATTTATTCTCTAAAGTTAAAAACAATATATACTAACCGTTAAAACGTCGGAAATTCGATTTCTTATCGGTTGAGATATTATGAGAAAAAATATTTTTGTTATTATAAACAATATCAAAAGTTTTTAGTGTAGATGAATTTCGACTATTAGTTCAACTCATGAATTGTGCCATGTCCCATTTGCACTCGTTAGCTGGAGATACCATTTTCGTCTCAGTGTTGGTTTTTACAATAAGGCTCAACTTCAGTAACTTTCGCTTCAAACCATAACCCATCAACCACTGAGTTACTGAGTTCAGATAGGCCCTAGTTTGTGAAGGGTTTTATCTGTAAGAAATCATATTCTACCAATTATTCACGAAGAGCTAGTATAGAGCTAATCCCCCCAGTACCAATATATATCAAAAAGAAATAGTCAGCTAATGACCTTAACATCAACAAAGGGAAAATACATGTGTTAACAAATAATACTGAGAGAGTTTTCGAAAATAAGATAATTTTCTAACATGAACAATCCATTTAAAAAAGATTGATTTCTGGGTAGTGAGCAGTATCATGTGTTCCAATCCTTCCTAGTGCTGATCGAATTTTATCAATCAAGTTACAATGTAGCCACTGGTCTGAGTGGCTTGACATCGCTTCCACTATCCTGACATGTAAGGCTGTGGTTGGAAGTAGTTGACTGCATTCGTTTGTTCACGGAAACTGTGACATGTAGACCTAAAACATTATCATCAAAAATAAATTCCAACAAGCAATCGGAAGTGGAATGCCTGAGAAGAACATAAAGAAAATAGGAGAAGAATCAAAATAACAACAGAATAAGAGGTATATTAGATAGGTAAAGGATAACGCAATTAGGATATGCAAATGATATAGTCAGTGTACAGTTTTCATATTTTACTAAGGCATTCTGTAATTTCTCATTAGACAGTAAATTTATTTCCGCCACCTGAGTTATCGCCCACTACAATACTAGTTTTATATTGATTGATTATAGTATGAATCCTAAGATAGGAGGACTGTTCAGCTTTTATTATTGAGTTGTTTCATTGAAATGACTCGTCTACACTGTCCATTTAACTTCATCGTTGTCTTACAATTTATTCAGTCTAACTATGAACTAGATATGAAACTTCAAATTTTCATACACATTTTAAGGTAATCAATTGTTACTATTTTTTGGTGTTTGTGTTTTCAGAGCAACAGATTCTACTCATTGTATATCTTATAATAATTTTCCTGTTTTCTTTCATAACACTTAACATTCACATACTAACTAAATAACATTAGAATAGATTTGTTAGCCTAACGAATTTCAGTTATTTTTCCGCTAGTCTTAACCCTTTAATATGAGCTCAAGTAAAAGAAAATCGGCTCAAATTATCCATGTTTTACCCCATTCGGAACTCCTCAGCTGGTCGTACCTACAGCGCAGACTTTGCTAGGGAATTTAAGTTTGAAGAGTGATAATTATATCGTTATGCAGCAAAATAGAGTGGGAAAGACTTTAAACCAGCTGTAGTGCTGTCAAGAATTTAGTACAGCTACAATAAATCCTTTTCCAAAGCTTTAGAGGCTAACAGTTAGTCGGTCTTACTAGCGATATATGTGAACTGGAAACTCAAAATGAATGACGGTTCACCTGATTGGTAATCCTTAGTTAAAACTCCGTCTGGAGTCCTTTTAAGGTTACTGCCGATCTCTATCCCGGATAAAAGAGGAGGGTTGAACATAAGATTAGCAACTCCATCTCGTAGCAATAAAACTTTGCTAAAAATATGCTAACCAAAAGCAATCATTTAAACCAACGCTTAGTTTCAATGATGTATTTGGAATGCATTGTGAACTGCTATTGAATTGTTAGATTTATCTTATAGAAGTGACTATTTTTACATAGAACTCACACTAAATATACAACCTTGACGTCATCTTTGACATACAGAAATCTATGAGAATAAACAAAACAGCAGTCAGTTTACGATAATTCAACCTTTACAATAAAAAAATTAGTCATATCGGATTTTTTGCAAATCCATACTTCATTCTTCAAAATACAAATTGGTACTGTAATGGTAGGGTTTTCTTCGCTTTCTAACTAAACATCAAAATGAGGTTTAGGGAAATTTTTTCCACTCTTGTTATGAGTACTGTTCTTATGAACTTAAAGCTAAGAAGGGTGATTTATCGGAATAGTTTAAATTATGATTCTTAAAAATTGAT